GAAACTCCGACGAAACAGTTTGTCACAGCCCCTCGTTTGTTGTCCTCTTCTCCCTCTCTGCCTACGGTTTACCGGGCAGTTCTATTTGACGATATATACGATATATATATATATACATGTGCGTTTCTGTAAATGCTATCCCCTTGTCGACGTCCGTCCAGGTATCTACCACTTCTTAATGAATCTCTGCTCACCCATGACTCAATGGTCGGCTATGAATCTATGGTGTTCTTTCTCTCTCTCTCTCTCTCTCTCTCTCTCTCTCTCTCTCTCTCTCTCTCTCTCTCTCTCGATGTGTGTTTCTGTAAATGCTATCCTGTTGTCGACATCCGTCCAGGTATCTACCACTTCTTAATGAATCTCTGCTCACCCATGACTCAATGGTCGGCTGTGAATCTATGGTGTTATCAACTTATCATCCGTTCTGTTCATGCAATTGAACGGTGTAAACATTTCCATCAAGATGGAGAATATGGAGGCCATCTTGAGAGCAACAGGAGTGCGAGCATAAGTTCAAGTAACGTAATCATCTCATACAGAGTCTTGACGATGTTGGTGATCCACGGGCCAGCAGCAGTCAGATTGAAAGATGGTCTCTGAATCAATATAGCATATGGCTGAGTTCACTCTTGCAAACTAAGTAAAATAAATAGCAGTGCGAGATGACAGTCAGTCGTGCAAAACTCTGAATGAACTCACAGACACACAGGACGAATTTATCGTGCAGAAATGGACTGCCGGCCTGAGTCGAGATGAATTTCTCGCATAAAAAGGACGGTCAGGATGAATCTCGAATGTAAAATGGACTAGGAGGACGAACGTTGCATATGTCCTGCATAAGCAGGATGAGTTTCACATGCAAGATGCACATACAGGATGAATTTCACGTGTAAAATGCACAAAAAGTGGATCGTTTCACATTTGAAATGTTCAGGCACGATGAATTTCAGATGCGTAATGCAAGCAAAGCGGCTATGTTCACATGTAGGACGGATGCAGCACGACAAAGCTCGTATTTTTAAGTTGATGGATGGAGGTGAATTTTGATAACCAATGCCCCTGTCGAGAGTCTTTTCTCTCTGCTGCATTTGGTGCATCTGTCGCTCTGTCATTGTGGCTGAGTCAATACCGTCTTTCCCCGAAGACACCACACCCCCATCGTGACTGCATCGGACCGTAATCGTATGTTGTATACATTCATGATCCTCGTGTGTCGTATTTTGGGGAAGGTGGTTGTTGGATGCTACATATAAACTGTTATGAAGCAGATACAAGTCATGGGTAAAATGTCACTAAATAGTAAAAACTGTCAGGCAGTAGTGAAGTTCGACTGGCAATTGCTGCTTCCCCCCCCCCTTTTTTTGGTCTACTGAGATAGCCCCTAATGCCATTCTGTCCCCAGAAGATTCAAACTCGTGACCAGTTCCCTGTTTTCTTCTCGAGGGAGATAGCCCCGAAGGCTATTCTGTCCCCACAAGGTCCGAACCATACTTGCGGCGCACTGCTGCGCTGCGGCATGTGCTGCACCGCGCGGTGTGCCATGCGCGTCCCCGTCGTACGCGCAGAGCTGCGCGCGGCACGATGTGCGATGCGCTGGGCGGGTCCAAGGTGCACACTGTGCAGGTGTGCAGGTACGTGCGCGGGTAGGTGCGCGAAACACGCGCATCTGTGTG